AGTTTCTCCAGAGACCAACAATACTCATGAATCAAAATAAAGAGTAATACAAATAACCTAGAAAGTAAATAAGAAACACTATGAATGGATGACTTTAACTTTCCAGAACCTACAAAGATACTTTAGCTGTCTCAGGAGAGGAATGATTTTTAAACTCCGTATGGCTCTAGATGAGATGGGCCACACAGAGAAAAAGGGCTGTATTTTCAAAAGATTATAAAATTAAGGTGCTCTGCCCCAAAGGAAAGAGCTAATCTTAGAGAGAGAGAGAGAGGAACAAAAGAAGGAAAGAAGAAAGAAAGAAAGAAAGAAAGAAAGAAAGAAAGAAAGAAAGAAAGAAAGAAAGAAGAGAGAGAGAAGGAAAGAAAGAGAAAAAGAAAATGGAAGAAAAGGAAGTAGAAACATGACATTCTCTGTTTAAGAAGAGGACTTTTATAAAATGTCTCCATTTGCCTGAGGTCAAACACAAAGAGAATACCAGATCTGGTGTATTCAAACCAAACAAGATGTTCAAGCCTGAAAAATTTATTTCCCACCTAGATTACCAGACAGCAGGAGTTGGAGAAATAAATCTGTGCTATCAGATGACCATGCTCCTACTAAAATAACAATGTAATGTATTGATAAAATGAAGTCTCAGATTGGGATCTGCCAGGTGCCTGATTTTTACCCTGAGGGGTATTTGGGGAAATGATATAATTTTATAACAGTGGTGGTGCAACCCTTTATCTTCTCAATGCTTTGGACACAAAGACCATGGGATTAATTATATACTGTGAGCAACAATTCATGAATATTTAACACACTCATCTATACTTAATGAATAAATTTGCATTTTGACACTATTATTTAATGTGCTTTAAGGAAATACTGCTCATTACCTTTCAATTTTGTAGATTAGTTGAATGTAATCAGAATGATAAGGCAGGAGAGATATAGTATTATTTAAATAACATTGTGTTTTATGACTGCTTCTGCTTCCACGAGTTCCCCCCACTCTTTCTTTTAGGCAACTGGGTTTATTTTATTCTATTCTGACTGCTTTGTCTTAATCATTTTGCATCCATGCTCCTTGCAGAAGGCAGTTTCTTTAGATTCATGGGAAAACAATGCAAATTAAATAAGCAGTGTTTTGCTTCCCTCTGTGTGTTTTGTAACAGGGCATTCTCTCAAACAAAATATCCCGTGCATTCGGCCGTAATTGTGTCCTGGGTGGCAAGGCTCAGCAAAGTTACCACTACCTGCACCATAGCCAATGGCAATGAGCAGAAATCTCTAACTTACCTAAGAAAAGTAGAACCCCAAGGAATCAGAAAAAACTGGCCACCTGGTGAGGATGCTGTCAGAGATAAGCTATCCTGTTTGTTTGTTTGTTTGTTTGTTTGTTTGTTTGTTTTTAATCTTTGGCTCATGGTGAGGGACTTTTTCTCATAAGGAACGGATCTTTTGTTTGCAAGGTGGGTACCTAATCTACATATCCACATTAGGGGTATGAGAACATACCAATAAGATTGCAATAAGATTGGTGAAACTGAGTTATGTGAAACCCTGTAATTTCTCTGGATAGCACTTAAAAATTTTTCACTAATAATTCATTTGAAAAGCAAATGCACTGCAAAAGCCTTTCCCGAATCGATGACCTCACAGCCTGAACTAGGGAGATGCATCACTGGCAGAATCAGCCATTCAGGATGTGACTTTGTACCCTCATTGTACACCCCATGAGACAGCATGGGCTCGAGGAATAGAGAACAGCCTCTCAACAGGCTGTTGAGAGGGTTATTCCCTAACCTTCCTCTCCCCTCCCCACCCAAGTTCAGAACCAAAAAAAAAAAAAAGACTCAAGTTTAGAATCAATAAAGAGAGAGACACAAAAGTCAGAGAGACTATGATGAAAGCGGATTTTGGAGACTGGCGATTGATTCAGATCTACCGGTAGTGGTCCTGGTAGATACTTTGTCCTGATTTAAACAGACTTAACCAGCCACAATCGCTGGAAGTGCTGAACAACCACAGGCTTCCCCTGAAGGTGAAGAGTAAAGCAGAACATAATTTATACTTTCTGTCAACTATTGTCTCCAAAGACCCCAGGGAGAGGAAGACCCTGACCATTGTGAACTCAGTGTCCCCAAATGCATCAATTAAATGAGGTTTTTCATATGGCAACATGAAGCTGGAAAACTGAACTTCTCCCCAGATATTCCCTAACCTGAAGATTTGATCAGGGGTGTGGTTATTTTCTTGAGGTAAAAAGTTGCCCTTTACTAAGCACTAGCAGGCAGTCCAGATCTTGACCCCAGAAGACTCTGAGGTCAATCAGGACAGGACAAGACAGGGCAAGCTCATTCTAGCCTCACAGCTGAAAATTCATTCTGCCATTTGGTTCCCCACCTAAATCATGTCCAGTCCTAATGTCTGATTTAGTTCATTAGCGGTTCTGCAATGAGATTACATGATAACCTAAAGACTCTACAGTAACAAAAAGATTGCAATATATTTGAACTTGAGCCATCTTTCCTTATGGAATTCCCAGGGAGAAATTGGAGTTCAGAGATTAGAGTCCAAAGAAGTGTAGGTCATGCTGAACACTAATGGCTCTTACCTTTCCATTAGGCCGTTGCAAAACAATGAACATCCAGGAACAGAGCACATTGTGTACTTTCTGAGGGCAGCCAGCTCCCAAAGAGAGAGAGATAAAGAAGCGAATCATGCCTGCCTTATTCCTTCTCCCACCAGTGACATGCTAGCAGAGGTCCCCAAGGAAGGAAGCTCAGAAAAGTATCCGCCCTCCTCATACACACACTTCCCAGAAGTGTTGCAGCAAGACTGCTATTTTACAAATAAAATAGAGAAGACAAGTTCATGGCTCACATGGAATCTTGCATATCTCCTCCTCCATTTCCTGCTGGGATTCAGAAACTTTAAAGCCCACTTAGACCCACCCCTACTCAATGCCAGCTCCCCTCTTCCTGACTTTCTTGTACCTAGGAATTCTCTACCAAGGCTGCCTCCACATCCTTGTGTTGTGACTGGATTTGGATGCCAAATATCAGCCTCTCCTCATTGCTCAGTCTCACTACCTCACTACCAGATCTCAACTTCTATGAAACTTCTGCAAAGATGCTACTTACACTTGAATACTGTGAAGTATGGTAAATGTCTAAATTTCTAAAATTTTATCCAAAACCAAAAATCTTTTAGTGACAGGAAGAAACTCCAAAATTTGCTTTGACACAAGTACAGTTGACCCTTGAACAATGTGAGGGTTGGGGGCACTCACCCTCCGTGCAGCTTAAAGTCCATATGTAATTTTTGAGTCCCCCAAAACTTAACTCTTAATAGGTGACTGTTGACAAGAAGCCTTACCTAGAACATAAACAGTCAAATAACACATATTTTGCATGCTACATGTATTATACACTATATTCTTATAATAAGCAAGCTAGAGAACAGAAATTGTTATTAAAATCATAAGGAAGAGAAAATACATTTACAATACTGTACTGTATTTATTTTTAAAAATCCACATATAAATGGACCCATGTAGTTTAAACTTGTGTCGTTCAAGGGTCAACTGTACTGCATTTCCTACTTTAAAACTATTGTTTTAATATAACAATCTTTTTATTAATGTTTACTTATTTGTTTTGAGAGAGAAAGCATGAATGCATGCATGGGGGAGGAGCAGAGAGTGAGAGGGAGCGAGTCCTAAGTATCTTCTGCAACATCAACCCAGAGCCCAACGCAAGGCTTGATCCCACAAACTGTGAGATCATGACCTGAGCAGAAATCAAGGGTCAGACACTTAATTGACGGAGCCACTCAGGCACCCCAAAACCATTTATAATGTGATCCACAAACATTTTTGTTTCTCTCTGAACAGACTTCCCTACTGAAAGAAAAAATAAACAAGAATTGGACACCAATGTCAAAGGGCACTTTTATGCTTATGCCATCCCTCTCTCTGTCTCACCTCCTCTAATAAGACTTCCCTAGCTCCCCTCAGCCACCTGAGGTACCTGTTGCTGTGTCCCACAGTACCCTGTGTATTCCTCAATTTGCTCTTTCTGCTTGGCATTGAAATGATCTGTTTATGTATCTAGTAGGCATGCTTTTTGGATTAGGAGTTCGTTAAGGGCAAGAACTACCTCTGTCTTCCCAGCCCCAGCATGGTGTCTTGACACATAACACGATGAATAAGTATTGAGTTAATTAGTTAACTCCATGGCAATTTTTTAAAAATCTCCCTAAACAGAGCATTCTGCAGTATAAGGCACTTTATTAATCTCAAGAGAATGATAAAAACAATACCTTACATATGGATAGCTCTCAATTGTTTTTACAAATACTCTCAAAGCTGTTACTGCACCTGGTCTTTTCAACATCCTTTAAGGAAATTAGGTAGAATGGTTGCTTTCAAGCCCATTTGACACTTGAGGAAAATGTGACCAATTTCATCCTGTTATGAGCTGTATTGTGAGCCTCTAACTTAGAACCTTGTCCTTGGAAACTAGGAGGCTCATTCCAGAGCTTGCTGAGCTCTGACTGGGGTGCCCTCGCCTCCCATAGTGGTACCTCCAGCCTTTTCCCCAGGAGAAACTTCTCTCTAAAGTCAAAGTTCTCTGCACAGACCCAGGCACTCATCTAAATTCACTACTATGGAAATGCTATTTTTCATCACTATCTGTAAGTTTGTAATTAAAAAAATTATCAACAAAGTGATGAGATCTTCTTCTAATTTTCCATTTCTTTTTCATAACAAACTTCAGATTTCAGTCAATAGCCCTAGACAGTCTATCTCTATTTTGATCCTTCCTAAAAAAGAAAATCACATCAGGGAATGCATGACCTTTGGTTCAGCCTAAATTGTCTTTAATGCCCATGAGACTAATTCAGGGCAGGGGGAATTGCAATGTTATCAAAGTTTGTTTTACTAGGCTGGAAAGCAAAGTCTTCCAAGATAAGAGCAGACTGAACTCAGGTGAAAGTGAGACAGATACCTTTTTCACTTCTGCTGCCAAGCAAAACTGTAGAATGTGAGGCATTTCTGCAGGTATTATCCAGAGTCCATTTTCCAAGGAAATTGCCATGGAAGTAGCTGAGGAAGAGCAGCACCAACTGCAATGATTTCTGGTTCCAGAACCCTTGATCACTGGTACAAAGGCATGTTCCTGAATTCTTAGTTCTTGTGATGGTTTCAGATGGTAACTCTCCAAGGGGTCAGTGAAGAATGGTCCCGAGAGCCTTCTAATGCCCTCTTCATACCCACCCCACCAATCCTCCTGACAATTTTGGAAGCAACAAATTCCCCATCTTCAATCCCTTCTTGCTTTAAGTATTTAGAGTGTCTGTCTACTGTATCAATCCCTGACTGACTCATTCTCTTTAGCTCTAAAATCACATAGTTCCTCCTATTAACTCTCTCAGCTGCTAATTCAGTCACTCATTCTTCTCTTAAATCTCACCTCTCTTCTATTTTTTGACATGATGCTGAGCATTGTTTACCATCCAGGTTCATTCAGGGCTCTAAGGCAGTAATGTTCTCTGATAACCCTCAATTCACCTTGTGGAAGAAGAACACGTTCAGAAGTGATTCTGCTGAGTTGATATCAGAGTAAGAATGTGGTTCCCACCATACTAAGCAGCCAGGATGAATCTGGAAATTCTTTTTCCCGACAAAGATATTTGAAAACTGTCCCGTGGAGAATTAACCTTGCAGAAAATAATGATTCTTCAACAAATGGCTATTGTGAGTTTTAAAAGACTAGGTAATCGTAGCGCTATTCACAAAAGCCAAGAGATGGAAACAACTCAAGTGTTCATTACAGATGAATGGATGAACAAAGTGTGGTCTATACATTCAGTGGAATATTATTTGGCCATAAGAAAGAAATTCTGATACATGTTACTATACCAACGACCTTGAAAACATTATGGTATGTGACATAATAGAATAGACAAATTCATACAGACAGAAAGTAGATTAGAGGTTACCAAGGACTGACTGGGGTAGGAGGGAGTATGGTGATTTATTGCCTTAATGGTTACAGAGATTCTGTCCAGGGTGATAAAATGTTTTAGAAATAGTGGTGATGGTTATAAAACATTGTGATTGTAATTAATGCCATTGAATTTAATTATACCTTAAGAATAATTAAAATGTCAAATTTTACATTATTTATATTTTACCAACACCAAAACAACAAAAGATTAAGAAAATGGCAATTATGTAAAAGCAGGGTTTAATTCTCTAAAGGTTTCTGATACCAATTCTAGGTAGTAATGATGATATAATGCATTTTTCACCAAACACATGGGCTGTACATCTGGAGGCCATCTCTCATATAAGAATTCTGTTAGATTTCTTTCCATTTTCATGACTTATGTTCCACTTCCTTGTGCCTCAAGCCAGTCTCTGCTTAACTTTGTTTTTTTTGTTATTGTTGTTGTTGCCTCCCACCCCCCAACTGTCTCCCTGGGTGTCTATACTCTTTCTGTTTTGGTCTCCTTTACTCTGCTGGATATGCACACCTTCTGTCCTTAGAAATGACCCTAAACACTCAAATCTTCTTTCTGGTTTCCTTAGTCTGACATTGAGGGCCCAAGAAAAGCTAACATGGGAGAGAAGAGGTGTCTTCAAAGGACCTGGGGAAATTAAGAAAGACTTCCATGCAGGTAGTAGATGTATTGCCTGGGCTTGTGTTGCTCGTTTACAGGAGGGAGAAGAAGAGGAGAATAAGCAGCTAAAGATATTAATAGCCTAAAACTCCAACCTGTGGTTGTAGGCTGCAAGTGTAGCCTCAGCTAAGTCATTTCCTGCTTTCATACCTTACTTAATGGTCTCCATGCTTCCCAAGAGCTCTCCTGACACTGGCTCCAAATGTGAGCTCTAAACTGGCCATGCTGAGCCAGAGCCAGAGAGCCAACCCCGGCTCCCAGCTGGAGGTGCCACGCCTTCTTGTGTTTCAGACGAAGCTTTATTTTACAAGTTTGTAAAACCTAAGCTGAAAGGCTACACATATGTCTCACAAGCAAAAACTAAAGGAGAAAAAAAGATCACTGCCAAAGTCAGTCTTATCAGGTACAAACCACGCCACTAAAAAGTTTTCCTAAACTTATAATTGGCACCCAAAATAGCCTACACAAGTGACGGAGGAGGATAATTCATTCAAACAAAAGGAACTTAGAAAATTCTTTGCCTTAGAAGAAGTCTTTAAGATTCTCTCAGATCAAAATACAAAGCTTGATTTGCTTACCCGCCTACATATACATATTTTTTCAATCTTAATATCAGAATAACATAATCATATAATCATCATCATAATATCATAATAGCCCTCACATAAACCTATCTTCGACAAAGCAGCTTTATCTTTATATATGCCAATGCTGGACCACACCATGGCTCCTGTAATATCAGTATCTTAAGGTTAAGTAGGGTGTTAGTCACTGAACTCTAAAAATAAAAATGATGTTTCTTGAAATTCATCGTGCTTTTCAGGCAGCTGCAGGTAATTTTCTCCAGATTTGTAAGGTTTTCTAGATCAGTATTCTAGTCACTGAACTAAGCCCCACAGCTGATCTCTGGGCTGCAGGATTTGTTGTTTAAACTACTCAACTGGCTTGCAGCAAGATGACACTTTTCCCACATGCCCTGTTAATGTGGGACATGGCTGGAAATGCGTCGCCCACACGCCGCGGGGTTACTGGGGCAATTTTTCCCTGGTCCCAAGGGGAATCTAGTTTTCACCCGGCCCCCAAGTTCACTTACCAGAGACCACCCAAACGTGGCTATTGAATTATCATTTTGGAGTCGACATTTTATAAATCTTACTAAACTGCTAAGTGACAATCTGATGAAATAAAACTCTTCCCAGAAATATTTTTTCTGCTTGAACTAAAAAAAGTTTTATAACACTTCTCATCCTCAATCTCTGTTCACCCTGCTCACAACCCCTAAACTAATTAAGGAATTATTTTGCATCCCATTCCTCTGAGAGAACAGAGTGCTTTTGTATGACAGAGACACCATTCAAATGTGATATGTGACAACCCTATTTCATTTTCAGTTCCTAACACTTGAGAGGTAGGGAAACCTTGAAGTCAATAAATATATCCAAGGGAAAATCAGAGGTGATGTGCTAGGGATGGGCACTGGGTGAACATAATAATTAAAATTACACTTTGGGTTCAATAAGTTTGTGCAGAGCTAGAAAGATCTTGAAGATCATCTAGCATTTTAAATGATCAGTGTCTCCATTTTGAAGAAAAGAAATGCTGGAGCCCAAGAACTTGAAAAATCTCCTCTTTCCAGTCCAGGTTAGACCCCTGGGTCTCTGTGATGAGTCCTTTCACGGATACAAGCCTATTCTGGATGGTGAGTCACTTGTTTTCGGCCCCCCTCCTATGGCTTTGTCATGCCGTAATGAAAGGAAGATGCAGTGAGACAGAAGTGGAACGGGAGCGAGACTTTCCCTCACCCTCAAAGATAAACAGGTCACCTTGGAGGTGCAATGACCTTTCACATACCTATGTGGTTTAATAAGTCCATTCTGGCTAGGGATGCAGAAACATAGATTCTAGCCATGGAACCTTACCCCTCCCTTACCAGCCCTTACCCCTCCATATTTTCCCCTTACCCCTTCTGCCTATTTTCCCTGCCTCAGTTACCAACATCCACAGACAGGCCAGAAGACCAGTAGGCAGCAAAACATTTGCTTGCATTCACAGGAAAAATAATTAAAATGCACTCTGTTATTGAGTGAGATCAACTGATGAGAAGAAAGATTACTGCTGGAGCAATCCAGGGAGGTAAGTTATTTTATGGGGTTTAAACAGGACTCAATGGCTCCATTTCTTGCACTAAGAATTGCATTACAGAGCTCTTCACTAACATAGTGGAGTTTACAAATTTCACTGATCCTGTGGGCTCAAGAAAGAAAAGAGGAGGGAGAAAAGGAAGAAGGGATGGGGTAGACAGGGGGAGAGAGAGAAACATTTCTCAGATTAAAAAAAAATATTTATTTTTGAGAGAGAGCACACTTACATGTACCCAGGAGAGGGGCAGAGGGAGAGGGAGACAGAGGATCCCACAGAGGATCCAAAGGAGACTCAGTCCAGAGCCCAATGCGGGCCTCATACTAAAACTGTGAGATCATGACCTGAACCAAAGTCAGACCCTTACTGGGCTGAGCCCTCCAGGCGCCCCTTCTCAGATTTTAAATCCAAAAGGGGCCTCTGGATTTCTCCCCTGTTAAATACTAAGTAGTGCTCATCAAGCACCTTCCCCACCCATGCTATGCGCATGCCTTACTAGTGAACAAGCTCTTTCATGCTGCTACTGGATTAAGATAACATCCTTGTTTAACCATGTTGCATTCTAAACTGTGATAGGTTGCGTTATGATGATATCACAGTGATCATTTTCAACTGGCCTTTAAAACATGAAGCAATCCTGAATTAGCTTACCTGATAGATCTCAGGAATGGTCCCACTCAGGTCTGAGTCACTGTATATTTCCATATGATATGCTGCTCTTCTTAGTAGGGGTGACTGACACCTCAGTCAGTCTATCATATTCACGGCAACACAATCATCTCAAGTGGGATTCCTTTCTTCCAATATTCATTGAAACTAATTTTAGACTCATCTGCTATTCCACTGCCAGACATAAAGGAAATTCCAGGTCGATAAAGAGGATGGTCAGAATGACTATGTTTCTACCATCTTCATAATAGCATTGCTCTGATGTGATTATTTACTATTGAAATATGATGTTTCTGTTTCAGTGATAATATGTAAAATTAAGAATGTCTTTTATTCTCAGCATTAATTAATAAAAGACATTTAGGATGGAAGCAGACTGTCCAAATGGAAACGACATTGCCTTTGGAATGGAAAGTTTGATTTGGACTCTGCCTTTCATTCATTCAATAACCATATACTGATAGCCTATCGTGTTTCAGGCACTGTCCTTGGAGTTTTGTTACTTACCAGCCCTGTGCCCTGGGCATGTAATTTAATATTTCCATACTTTATTTAAGCCAGGTGCCTTTTGCAGTGCCAAACTGCCCAACTGTACATGGCAACCCAGTCTCAGAACCT